TGACACTGGTCATACCTTCAGGGGAACCTCTCCTGGACATGGAAAGTCCACCTGACGCTGGTCATACCTTCAGGGAGGAGGGGCCCCAGGTGAACACTGCTGGAAAGGACAGTGGATGTAGCTGCAAGGCTTGATCTAGACTCTGCCTCCACCTGGCCATGTGGCCTTGGAAGAAGGAATGTACTTGCTTTTCACCCTCATCTGCCCAGGAGCAATAAGGGCCCACTTGAGATGAAGTATCTGAATGCTCTTTGAAAGTGTTAAAGCACAAAACTAATTGGAAATATTACAATTCTAACAACAGATATGGAAGAATAAAGTATGATAATGCTTTAAATGCCAGAGAAGATGGAATCGTTTTCTAGCAAAATACAGATTACTAAATTTAACTTAAGTTTTAGAAAAGCCTGAATAGATAGGTAACCACAAAAGAAATGGAATACACTGTTAAAAGTTCTACCACCTACCACTTAAAAAGTGTCAAGCCCAGATGATTTTAAAGGCAAGCTGTGTCAAACCTTCAAGGAATGGATAACTTTTACAATAGTCAAATTATTCTTAGGACACAGAAAACAGATGTATACTATTCCAATTCATAGATATTATCCTAATACCAAAACATGATAAAAATATAAACCAATCTAGTTTGTGGCTATTAATGCAAAAATTCTAAAATAAAATAATAGAAATATTTAACACCAAGTTAAAAATGACCCATGAAGATCAACTAGGGTTTATGCCAAGCATAAGAATGCTTCAGAAATTAGCTAATCTTCTAATTCCTTACATTAGTGAAGGTCACCTGTCAGCAGATGGCAGCCATTCTTGATCAAATGGTGTAGAATAGAATGGAGGGAAGTGAATGGGCGACAGGCCACCTGCAGAGCTGACCACCTCCCTACCCTGACCACTTGCTTCAGTTGACCTAATTTTCATAGACCAGACACGCACCACATAAACTCAGGGGAAGTTCCTTATGTTGACCACCTGGGGATCAACTTAACAGAGATTCTTACTGTATATAGAAATACACGAATACCCTAAACAGGAGCATTAATTAGACGCTGTCTGTAAACATCATATTCAATGAATGAGACAGTGAAACGCTGACATCAGGAAGCAGTGGGCACGCTCCCTGGCACTTCCGCTGCTTACATTTCTAGAGTCTCCAGCTTTTGAAATCAAACAAGAAAATGAAAGAAACATGGGGATGCTGAAAAGAAATATTTATCATTTGTGAATATAATTGTACAAGCAGAAAATTTCTGGAAAACAATTTAAGAAAATGACTGGATCAAGCTAAAAATGCAAAAAAAAAAAAAAAAACCCACAAAACCCCCCAAACCTATTTCACTTTCTTTTACAGTAACTACACTAGTCAGAAATTGAAAAATGAAAAAAAATTCCTATTCACATTAATGACACAACTATTGAATACCATTCTGGAAATCCTGGGGCCTTTAAGAATGATGATAAATCTCCTGTGTGTTCTGTAAACGCAACAGCAAAGCCCGGACCATAGCATATCTGTTTAGAGCAATGATTTTCAACCGGGGTGCCATGAAAAATTTTAAAAATCACTAATTTAATTATTTTCAAAAGAAGTTCGAATCACAGTAAGCATATTTTTTTTTTACTTTTTCTTTTTATCAACATAATTTTAAGTGTGCCACAGAAGTTTAACCATAGGTTCAAGTGTGCTGGGAGATAAAAAAAAGTTGAAAAACAGTGGTATAGAGCATGATATACTAAACAGTGTTAAGTTCACTATTGAGACCTTACGGCCCAGAAAAAAGTTCCTTTCGAAATATTACTGCTCCTTGACTGTGCACCTGGTCAGTCACCCAGAGCTCCGATAGAGAGGCACAGGGAGATTACAGCTGTTTTCATACCTGCTCGCATAACATCTAGTCTGTAGCCCATGGATTGAGGAGTAACTCATCTCACATCTTATTATTTAAGCAACACATTTTTTAAGGCCATGGCTCTGACAGAGCTGGGAAATGTCACTTGAGAACCTTCTAGAAAGGAGGTTCTAGATCCATTCTAGATCCATCAAGAACATTCGTAATTCATGGAGGAGGTCAGAATATCAACATTTACAGGAGTTTGGGAGAAGTGGATTCCAGCCCTCATGGAGGACTTTGAGGGGTGCAAGACTTTAGTGGGGCAGTCACTGCAGGTGTGGGGGACACAGCGAGAGAACGAGAATCAAAGTGCAGCCTGCAGACGGGACTGAACTGCTCCCACCTCGTGATGGGACTTCACGGGTTAGCAGCTGCTTCTTATGGGTGAGTGAAGAGAGTGGCCGCTTGAGATGGCGTCTTCTGGTGACGATGCC